AAAAGCCACCATCAACACCATTAGTTCCAACATCCAAAAACCACCAGTTCTACCACACAAAACCCACCATCAAGTAATTAACACCACAACCTCCATCATCCAAAACCCACTACTAATCATGTGGGTTTTACAGATCTAGAGAGAGATATATATATATAATAGAGTCTTCAGATCTGGGTTTTGTTGCAGGGAGGGGCGGGGGCCTAAGAGAGAGAGAAATGGGGTTGGGAGTAGTGGTTTTGTAGTGGTGGTGGTGGTGGCACCTAGGTTGGGAGGGCTGGGTGCGGTGGCGTGTTGCGAGAAGGGGCGGTGTGTATATATTCTCTGTGTGTATTTATATATATATATATATATCTCTCTCTCTATCTATATATATATAGATACACAGAGAGAGATAGGCTGAAGGAGATAGAGAGAAGTTTGATGATTTCAAATTGAGAGAGAGAGAGAGAGATCCCTGGTGCAATGGACGACGAAGATTATGGTGGGGGTTAGGGATAAGGCTTGGAGTTTGGGCTTGAGTTTGTGTTATAGAGAGGGGTAAAATAGTCTTTTTATTAAGATAGTTAACTCTGTTTAACTATTGGAGTCTCAGTGTAATTGTTGAAATATGAGGGGGTGTCTGTGTAATAAAACCAAATGTCAGGGGGTGTGAGTATAATTTATCCTATATAAAACAATCATTTGTTTAGAAAAAATGGCTTGAAAAACACTCCCTCTCATTTTTTTAAAATTTAAAATTTTTATTTAATTAATTACAAAGTTAAGAATTCTCTAATTAATAACCAACCCTTAACTCTTTTTTTTGGACTAAGACATGCACATATAACACACGAAAAATCCACACATTAAAGCAACTCACTACACTTAACTAATATAACTGCTATTTCATTATCTACCTATTAACCACTCCTCCTTCAATTTTGTTTTCTTAAAATTAAATTTCAATCTCCTGTAAACTTTAATAATTCTTTAACTACTTATGTTGTGTGATGGAAAAAGAGGAAGGCCTATGGAGGAAACATGGTTATAAATTTGTGTGCGATCAGTTAAATATTATAATGATTTTCATTCAACAACCACATATTAGAAAATGTAACCACAATAAGTAATCCATTACATTATAACATTTATTGTCCCGCTCATTTGTTGTAAGCTCTATGCATGTTAATGAACAAACTCTTTATCAACTGGGCTACAAGCAATTACATTTTTATCTCTATGCATGTAATTTTGATACGCTTAGTTAAGACGTAATTGACCAACATGAGTACATATGTCTTAGTACTCAAATGTGAAACTCAATGTCTAATTACAATCTCACTCTACAATTATCAATTAATTAATTCAATTAATGTGAAAATTCCCAATTTAACACAAATTCCCAACCAACTATAAAGAATTAAAGCTAGATCACTAATTTTCAATCAATACCTCATTTAATCATTTTATCGAGCATCTAAGAAGTATAAAACTACAAGTACGTAAAAAAACATGTAAGAGACAATCAAAAACGTGAGAACCCATAAAAAAAGGGGGAGAGAGATCGTTGTCCTGTTAAACTAATCCACTACCTTCAAATTAATATTACACGCGCTAAAATCTTATGTCTCAATTGATACCATATTTAGATGTTTTTCTCGCTTGAATATTCATTTCACAATAAATCGCTAGTTCTTTACCACTAACTTTAATAGGTGATTTACCCAACTTCACGATTAGCATTTGGAATTTTTCACTTCTCCTTGTTGGAATCCTCCTTCATTTTTAACTCCACAGATTTTTAGTGTTCTTCTACGAGATTTGTCTCAACTTTTAGAATGAATTCCTAGAATAGCTCCATATTGATCAAGTAAAAGTTGGTTGAATTGAATATATTGGTAATGAAATTGTATTGGATATCTGAAACTTAGTGTTGTTGAATTTAAGATAATGTAGAAGAAAATACATCGCTTTCCTTTTTGTTTTCGTAGTATGATAGTTTTGATGAATTTAAGAAGTGGGTTGAATTGTAGAACTTCATGCGGTATTTGATTTGTCAAACTGTTGACTTGGAAGAAGTGTTGATTTTTTTTTTTTTTTCCATTGGGTCTTAAAAAGAATTGTGGTGGTTCTTAATGAAGGCCCCTTCATTAAATTAAGTTTTTTTTTCCTATGCAAATGTTTGTGTATGTTATATGACCCAAATGAAATCTAAAAAAATTGCAACTCAAATGCTTATTATTTTTTAGATGAGTAGGTCTCATCAATTTTTTCAGTAAAACTCATTCATCCAACACTCATTCAATGGATGATATGCATTTGAGTTTTATTTGGGGTTTTGTAACATTTCGCTTCCAATTGTTATGTTTACAAAACACAAAATAATTCAAGTTGGGAATTAAAAAAAAATTAAAATTGTAAGAAAATAAAACTTAATTTATTCATGTGGATTATAAAAATTGAGATATGAAATATAGATTCGCCCTTAACATAACCTATTAGAAAAAAAAAAGGTTAATAGTATTTTTGATCTCTAAAGTATATATTTTTTGTTCGTTTAATCCTCATTGTATCAATTTTATCTATAAGGTATTCAATTCGTATTATTTTTGTCTCTATAAACCGTTAAGTTTTTTACCAAATGATCATATGTTGGGCACGTTATACCGTCTAAAAAATGACACATGGTCATTTGCTTCAAAAAACTTGACGAATTGTCTAAATAGAGACCAAAATGACATAGATTGAATATGTTAGGGACTAAATTGATAAAATTAATACAATGAGAATTAAAATGACAAAAAAATACATACTTTAAGGACTAAAAATACTATTAACCTTAAAAAAATTATAAACAATCAGTGAATTAATGTTTTTTGTCTTTAATTTAATGACTTAAATAGTGCATTCCAGAAAAAGAGAGATGGATTCAAAGAAAGAGGGGATTAAATTTGGTTTTATTGGTGTTTTAATTTTAGTTGAGGGAAAAGTATAGCTGGGAGAATGCACGTGTGTATGTGAGAGAGAGAAAGATTAGTGATGCCTACATTTTTTGCACCTTTTTTTATTAGGAAAAATTGTGGGCAAGCACTTTTTTAACTACTTAATTATGAGAAAATACTTTCATTAAAAGTTTTTATAGATAAATACATTTGACTTGAATTATATTGTAGTTAAGTATTCATTGATAGATTTTTAAATATTTTCTTCATTAAAATATTATTTTCCTTATTTGAAGGTCTATTAGTTTGGAGCTCCATTTTTTATGGGATTTGATTTATTATATTAATGGTTTCATATTTTAAGGAATTGAATAAATTCGAAATTCAAAATTATGTCAAAATGGAATATACCTTAAAGACTTAGACCAGATTTTGAAATTTAATTTTTTATATTATTTTTTAATTTTAAACAACTTTTTTTATTCTCAAATCTAACAATAGTGTCACTTTATAATGTTACACTATGATGTAACACTGTCATTCATTAAAAATAAATATATATGAATGTCACATTATATGATGAATATTATTTAGATTGTGTATTAATTAATGAATGTAATTTCACAACTTTTTTGTCCATAATTAAAGTGTTAATGAAAGTATTACATTATCATGTATCATTGTAATGTCATATTATCGGTAATTTGAATCGAAACATAAAGAATATCAGCCTTCAATAATGCTTCAAACATTGTGTTTTTTTTTAGTTGAAATTTGAAGGATTTTGTAGCTGATTTGTTTTTAAAAAAATTTCAAAACCTACGTTTTGAGGGATATATCAATTATCGAATTTAATGAGATTGTTGTATAATTTATAGTAGTTTCCTTATCCACTCTTTGCGCCAGGTAATTGTTACCTTTTAGACATTTCTGTTTTTTTAAAAAAATTACTTCTATATAAAATATTTTGAATTGAGCACTTTTCTACAATTGAGTGGTAAATTAAGTATCGATTTACAAAAAAATTCTTTTTTTTTTTTTGTCAAATTTGAATGTGTGTGTCATCGGACTGGACTTCAGGGTCTAAAATTTTAAATTAATTATTTTTTTGTTGGCTAAAATTTTAATTGGACTTTTTGTTGGACTAAATTTTTTTGAGTTTAAATTTATGGTATGAACTAGATTATAAACATGTAAATTTGGGCCTCTTTTATGGTTGGGTCCTAAAGCCCCTATTTTGGTTGCTTTATTAGGCTTATCAATGAATCAAATTTTGATCTAAATCTCGTTAGTCGGATATGAATTGATATTTTTTTGTTGATAATTTGAACTCAAATCCGTTATCTTATATTTCATGAATTTGGATTTTTATATATATATATATATATATATATATATATATATATATATATATATATATAAATTTTTGATTATGATCCGATCTGAAATATATATATTTTTGTATAAAAATTAAAAAAAATTAAGAGACTACTTGAAAAAATTTACTTCAAATTTGAAAGCAATTAGTGGTGTCAAAAATATATCGCAATTTGTAACACGATACAAAATTAGAGGGCGTAAGTCTTCTTTTAAGCCACATATTTTCATAAATAAATAAATTTGACATGATTAATAAATTAATCGTCAATGAGTGAAATCAATTAAAAAAAATATATAACATAAACTTAATATAACACGATTAATTAAATATAAATTAATAAACAAATCAAATATGATTGAAATATTTTTTTACACAAATTTACTAAACCTGATATAAAATTTGCCTTATCCAACACAATTGATAGGTATAGATTTAATTATTAAATTTTAATAATTATTTGAATCAAATTAAATTTTAAATTAGGATATAGATTATAAAATTAAAATCTATCAAATAATTAAATCGGATTCAAATCAGAGTTTTTAAAATTAAATTCGGATTCGGATCAAAATGAGATCTAAATGCAATTTATTGACAGACAGACGTAGGTCTTATGTTCCAATCGGCATTGGAAGGGGGATGGGGATGTGAAGGGAAAAGGAGATGAAGAACAAAGTTGCGGGGTTGGAGGAACAATGACTGGAGCGTCATTGGGTCTTCGAACACCTAGTTATGGATCGCTGCAACAGCAAGGACAGAATGGCGGTGGTCTGTTGCAGACTCAGAATTCATTTGTCTTGCGAAAGCCTCCGAAGATTTCACTCTCTGGTTCAAGAGAGAAGGAGAGGTTTCTACCCCGCATCTTCAGATATTTAGGTCGAAGGAAAGTTGGAATGCTATTTTTGGTTATCTTCGCCCTCATGGCTTTTTTGTCAGGATTCTTTACGGTTAATAAAGGTGTGCGTGTCTTTACCTTTTCTGAATTTTCTATGTGTCTGATTTTTTTCACTTCTTTCCATGTGAAGCATGTAATAGTTATTGATATTAGTTGCCCACTAGTTTTTGTAATTGGATTGATTAATTCATTGTGATATTGGGTTTTAAATTGATAAGGAATTGAATTTACCAGCAGTTTTGTATTGGAACTTACATAATTTTGTATTCCATAATTACCGCAAACTTTCCGTTGTTTTTTTGGGGGGAGGGGTTCTAGGGGGAAGAGCTCCAATCCTGTGCTCAGCTCTGCTCAAAGAGACACGGGTAGAATTGACTTGAAGGAACTTATCTAATTGACCATCAAATTGACAGCACGGTTTTTGGACTTTTTTCATGATAGAAGATGTTGCCTGATATAATTGAGAGTGGTGTACAATTCCTCAAGTCCATTGAAGCTATGTTGTTTTATGTCAGACCCATGCCATGGGACTAACGTGATAGCTTAATTATGGTATTGTAATTTCAATAGCTTTGCTATTGATGGGCTTATAACCTGTGTGCATGATGGGTTTTTTTAGAGGATGCATCGATGGTTTTTTTAGAAGATGCATCGGGAAGCGCTGGTGTGGACTTTGATGAGAGGTTTCGGAACAAGACATATCATGTTCCTTCCCTTTTCCCCAAAACCGAAGTTAGCCAGAATGACAACAATTCTTCTTTACTGAAAAGTTTGACAGTGTGTGGTGCAAATAGTGGTCAGCCTCCTCCTCCTACTCCCCATGTTGCTGCTATTGCAGTCCTTACAACCCAGAAGAGTCATACTTGTGATACATTTGCATTCCCTCCTCCACCTCCTGGTGATAGAAGACGAATTGGACCACGACGTAAGTTTTATTTTTCCTTTTATATTTCTTCACATGTACACTTCTTCTGAACCCAAAGACAGAAACACCCATGGTATGTAATTATTCAGCTAATTTAATTATAGTTGGGAGGTACATCTTGCAATCTGTTTATTTGGTTTGATGAGACGAATATGTCACAAGGACAATTTCTTACTTAAAGCAACCACAATAAACGTGCTAAAGATTCTGTTACAGTGTTGCTGATTTTGTTCTTGTTTATTTTCTCAGCATGTCCAGTATGTTATGTTCCTGTAGAGCAGGCTATTGCTAGTATGCCGAGCTCCCCATCACCATCACCTGTGCTTGGTCATTTAACTTATTTTCGTGAAGAAAATCCAATAAAAATTGAACCACATGGAGGCTCCGATTTTGGCGGGTATCCTTCTCTAAAGCAGAGGAATGATTCTTTTAATATAAAAGAGTCCATGACTGTGCATTGTGGGTACGATTCACTCTCATAGTCTGTTTTTTTCATTAGGTGTTTTCTATGATTCCATGTTTTCTATATTTCACTTTCTTTCTATATCTATTGCTTTTTTTCTTGTGATTTATTTCTGTTTCATATTGGTTTTATTTGTTCTTTTTCTTTTTGGACCAGTTTTGTTAAAGGATGTAGACCTGGTCACCAAACTGGATTTGATATTGATGCAGCCGATCTTGTTGAGTTAGAGCAGTTTCATGATGTCATTGTTGCATCGGCCATATTTGGTAATGCTGAGCATAAGCTATTGGCGAAGTTTCAAATTTTTGTTGTTTTATTTATTACAGATGATACCTCTTACATTGCCCCCCCCCCCCCCCCCCCCCCTTCTCCATTTAGACACAAGGAACCCCTTTCCCACTATCATACCGTGGCTAGTTGAAATTTCCAATCCTACGGCAAGTCGTTGGTTTTTGTCTAACGATTTACTGTTTGCAGGAAATTATGACATAATTCAACAACCAAAGAACATAAGTGACACTGCAAGAAAAAATATTCCATTTTATATGTTTGTTGATGAAGAGACAGAAGCATATCTGAAGAATTCTAGTCTCTTGGACAATAACAAGAGGGTTGGATTATGGAGAATTATTGTCGTCCATAGCAATCCTTACACTGATGCACGACGCAACGGAAAGGTCAGTTTAGTTTCTTTTGGTCTTGTAGCTTCTCCCTCTTCATGTGTTCATCCAGATGGAATTATGTCCAAGTGACTATTTGAGGAGTTGGAAACAACTATGTAGCATAGATAAACTAAATCATTAAAACAAAATGCAAAATTGAGATGCATGAGATTACACATTGATGTTGATGACTTCATGTTTATGTTTATGTTTATTATTGTTTCATCGACTCTATAGCAATGGACAGGCAGATGCCATGTAGCATATTTTTGTTATGTTTTTTAACCAAAGGTTTGTTTCTCTATTGACAACAGCGGTTGTCTCATATGAAACCCACAGCATATGATATGTGTAAAGATTCAACATTGACTTTTCTCTTGTCCACAACTGCTTTTTCTTTCGAAATTTCTCTCACCATCTCCCTCTTGAACCCTCCATGGTTGCCACCCAACCTAGCTGCCTTGTAGCCCCCATAATTGAATCCTTCAAAAACCGCCCTAGAAGAGAAACCCACAAGAATTGAAGTCGTACTAGCAGCTTATAAAAGGGCTCTTGGGATGATTTGAGTGCCACTCTCCTGCAGAGAGAAGGTGTGACCACGATCCCTATCAAGGTGTGAGACAGGCTATGAAAAGCAGTGCAGACCAATTTACTTTTGAGTGCTGTCCATCGGGTTGGCACACAGTTTTTGGTGTCAGTATCACTAGTGCTCTAGTATGGCTATATGAGAATGTCTTAGCCTCTTAGGTGTATGTCTTGTTTGTTGGTGTTTGAGTGTGAGTGCCTTGTGAGGTGCATCTCTAGTGCATGACTTCCTTGTGCTATGTTAGATTACTGTTTGCAGTGTGAGATTTCTTGCTGTGCATTGTCATAAGTTTTCATTCTGTACAAGTCTTTTGCTTGTATTATAACGTAGAAAAGCTTCTTGGTTATTTTATTTTGTCAGAGCTTGTTTGACATATCACTTTGTAGAGTCATATATAGTCTTTGTGGGTCTTTCCAACTAATTATCAATTGGTATTGAGTTGGATGCCTTAACATGGAGAGTGTTTTGTCGTGCTAGGTCACTAACATATCTTTTTTGTCCTTATTGGACTCCAGGAATGGATTGGATAGAAATGTTTTTTTTGGCGAAGCCCTTTTTTGTCTATATTAATTTCTGACCACATGCAATCTCCATAGCCAATTTTCCAATTTTGATTATAAAATCAGAAGGTGTTGCTTTTGATACTACTATTTTGTACGATCCAAGAACTTCCATAATATTGGCGTGATTTGGGTTTGAGCAACGAATCCTGACATGATACATCTTTGTTATGAAAGTGGAGTGGAAACATGAGTTGCCTTTTCCAGTATCGATAGAATGATCATTGTAAACTATCTGCTTCAAAAAGAGAGTTTTGAGGATGAAACTTCAACCTTCTTTCTTCGATTTCATCTGATAGGAAACTAAATGCAGTCTCAATTTGACTGACTAACAATTTTTCAAAACGACGCTTTGCTTACTACTTGGATTTGCCTGAAATTTATCTCATGCCAAACATAGAATATGATTATTGTAAAGGAGAGCGTTGGGATCCAGCCAAATTCTTGGTTTTGATTTAATTAATCAATTGGCAAACATCATGAAGTTTGGTTGTAGGCTGATCATATCACAAGTTAGAACAAAGTTGGATCGGAGCTGGAATACAAGAGTCTTTTCAGCAAGAGTCTGTTTAAATGATTAAATCCCCTGTATTTGTACAACAAGTGTGCCTTGTTATATACTAATCATGTTTCACAAGCTTTGGTCTACCTTTTCACATGCAAGTGGAGATTATATGTGCAGGTAGTGTTAGAACTTGTCCCAGCAATCAAATAACATTTTTCAAACCATTGCCAATTGGTACCAAATGATATGCGTTAACAATTTCCATCACACTTGATTCTATAATAAAATGATATCTATGGGCTATCACGTGAGTGGGCATTATTTCAAGATAGCCTTTAATCTGTAGTCGAAGTTTATTTTTAAAAAGTGCTCACAGGTGACTACTTATGGGTGTATTATGACTTCTTAAAGTCTTGGACAGTTGTTTTTGACATTTTGTGCTTTGATAGTTTTTCTCCTTGTTTCTCAGACCAGTGTTTTTTGCTTTTGGAGAAACTCTTCTTTGATTACAAAGACATCCTTAGTTGCAAATTGGAAATACACAACAAAAAAAAAAAAGACAATTGTAAGAAGAAAACACTAGTTTTGTTTGAAAGAAACTGAGCTTTATGTATAAACATATGAACTGATATGATGAAGTCCAGAGTTTTAGAACATGAAGATGCATGCCAAGAGGGTTGAACTTTCTCAGTTTGCAGTCTTTTTTCTTGATGGTTCTGTTGTTTTTCTACACTCATAGGTTTCTGACTAATTCATTTTATGTCATGTGTGTAATTTTAATATTGATCATCTTATTCAAATTGAAGCTCAAAGCCTCAAGGTTTCAATTTTTGCCAATTCTGGGGTTCTCCTACAGCAGACATCTGCTTCCAAGTCGCAACTGATAGATGCATCTTTTTCAGCTGCAAGAATTATAAAATGAAATAAATAATATATATTGGAGTCTTATAGTTACAGTTGTTCTCAGTTGAAAAGGCAAAAAAAGAAGGAAAACGGAGGTACGAGGTGAGGGTTAGCTTTGGGGGCGAAAAGATGCCATATTATCTGCCCAGCATCCAAATTGATGTGTTGATATCTTTTATTTTAATGAAATAAATGGAAAACTGTCATTTAGGTTTTAGCCAAAAATGTTTATCCATTAGAACTTCTTTTATATAATTCACGCCACAAAAAGTTTTAGATTTTACTGGAGAGGATGCATGACCAATTTAGGTTCTACTAGACAGGATGCATGTGCTGCATGGGCCAGGTGGGCAATCAAATGTCAGAATCTATGCTCAGATAACTTCATGAATCATCATAACACAAAATATTTGCATATGTTAACATATCTCCCATATGTTGACGTTTGTCTATATAGAGGTGTAAAACACTATGCATTTGCTTGTACTTCTATATAGCATTGATATGACACAGAATGTTTGTGGCAGGTTCCAAAGCTTCTACTACACAGGCTCTTTCCCAATGTTCGTTTTTCTTTATGGATTGATGGAAAGCTTCAGCTTGTTGTGGACCCATATCAGATTCTTGAGAGGTATATCCTGTCCTATTGGTGTCCCCTTTTCATGCATTTGGTATCCTGAGTTTGATATTTTCTTATTTTACTGGAGGTCTTTTGGTTCATACATTAAGATATCTGAAGTTTGATGGGCGGAATGCTAAATTAAGCAGTCATGGTTTAAATGGGTCTTATTGAGTGCAGTTCAGCCTCCCATCCAAGTCTCCAAGCAGTTGCAGGGAAATTTACATTTTATGGATTGTCAGATATTCCTTTCTAGCGTATTTGCATATGCTGTTAGTTATATGAAAATAATTTTAGACCTCCTTTGATTAAATTGTGGGTTTGCAAAGCCGTATGATGCATTATGTTTGTGATGACCATTCATGGATAAGTTTGTGCTTAATTGTGCGTGCGAATTATTTTAATTGGTTTGATGTAATTCTTACAAAAAAGAGTCGTTTTACATTGTGGTTGCATCACCAGGGCCATTGTCATGACTTTCAACTTCATTTTTGCCACCCTTTTGTCATGGTATCTTTTACCTTGTTTTAGTACCCGAATGATGGAAATGAATTCAACTGTGTATTGTGCCTGACCAACTGCTATGTCAACATTGTTAACATGCTCTATCATTTTTTGATGAAATCATCTTTACAGAAAAAGCAAGGCATGGGAGAATATGCCATTTACACATCGATGTCGAGCATTGGTCATCATCTGCTCATGAATGCAACATCTAACCTCAACTATTTTGACTATTTTAAATACAATAAATTTTTTTTTTTTGTATTGAGCATAGTTGTGAAGTTCTTATGAACGTGTAACACCCGTGTGGTGCCTAAACCACTCTATTGTTTTAGGTTCTTGTGGCGCCAAAATGCTACTTTCGCTATATCAAGACACTACACACGCTTCGATGTGTTTGAAGAAGCTGAGGCTAATAAAGCTGGAGGGAAATACGACAATGCTTCCATTGATTACCAGATCGATTTTTATAAAAAGGAGGGTTTGACACCGTATTCTGCATCTAAGCTTCCAATAACTAGTGGTAGGCCCATGCCATGTGTTTACGAGTGTGTTTTTGGCATGTGTCTGCAACTCAAAATTAACTTTTTCTTTAACCGAGTTTTTGCAGATGTACCTGAAGGATGCGTTATTATAAGAGAACACATACCCATTACAAATCTGTTCACCTGCCTATGGTTCAATGAAATTGATCGTTTTACTTCCAGGGATCAATTAAGCTTTTCCACAGTAAGGGACAAAATAATGGCTAAAGTCAACTGGACCATCAATATGTTTTTGGATTGTGAAAGGCGGAATATTGTGGTTCAGGTAATTTATTACATATTTCCATAAATGCTTTGCTATCTTAGTTAGGTCTGATTTTCTTCATTTGGTGGCCCACTCATGCATGAATGTGCTATGAGTAACTGTCTGTGCAAAGATGAATCTCAATACCTCATGCTTTGCTCTTCCAACCACATTATTATTGGGGACTTTAGTGTGCCATTCAGGTGTGCCTCGTTCCTTAATTTATTTTAAAGAATAGGTGCACATAGCTCCTTTTAAGATGTGTACACGGTGGTGCAAAAAAGGCGCCGCGTGTGGACGTTTTGTGTCAATTGAATCATCCTTTTTTGTTCTTAATAATAGCATGCAGTAAAATTTGGCATTCACCTGAGGAGACATTAGAAGGATCAAATGGCGGGAAGTTTGATAAATTTTAGGTGACCATGACAGGTTTGATTGAAACAAGTAGGGATTGATTGTTCTTATGTAAGATGTGATGTGAGCATATTAAAGTGACTTAATGATCAAGGGACTTTTTAAGTCTTATAGAGTATGGTGCAGAAATTTGTTTCTGAACCCTTTTTTTGGTCAGCGGTTACTGAGGTTTTTGTTTTTCTAATTACGGCTGTTCGTTCGATAATTGAACTTGTACAGGCATACCACAGAGATTTATTGGAGCAAAGGACTCGTTTAGCTGGTTCCATAAGTCATCCTCCATCACGACCACCACCACCACTACCTTTGGTTCGTAATAATAATCTGGCTGTTAGAACTCCAGCGAAGAAAAATCCCATTAGACGTGGAAGAGGAGATAAGAAATCTGGTGCAAGGCGACATCGCAAAGTTGCTGCTGGTAATAGGGACCACATTTTAGTTTGATTTTTTTGAGGAAAAAAAATGTTTTTTCATTCTTTATTTCAATTATTAAACGGGCTAGGACGATTTTGGTAGATGTGTAGTAATCTGGATGAAAGAGAAAATTGGATTCTTATGAGACTGTCGATACATCTATTCGTTTCTGTTGTAAATACTACTCACAGATACAAAGACTTTTTATACAAGTTCATGCCACTTTTCATGTTCCTGCAAGAATTTAGAATTTAGATCCACTATTTTTCTCTAATTTTAATTCAACTATTTTTCTTCTGTTGAGAACGAGTGAATGCCTCCGTGCTTGGCCGTCTCGTAGCATTAGAATGACGTGTGTTAAGAAGAAAGATATATATATATATATATATATATATATATATATATATATATATATATATATATATATATAATAATAGATTTTTATTATTCATTAAAGTTAATTTAACGGTTAATATTAACACTCTAAATTTAATAAGAAAAATAGACGTTTAAGAACGTGTTTGAAGTGATTTTTTAAATGTATTTTTAAGAATTATTTCTCATAAATATTTTTAAAAAATAGTGTTTAAAACTGTTCCACCACTACTTTTATCACCCCCACCGCTCCACCACCGTAACCACCATTGCCGCCGTCAATGCCGCCACAATCCCTATCGCTACCCTACCATACCCCCACCACCACCACTACCGTTGCCACCACCTTTCCACCTTCATCACCAATTTCATTGCCCCACCACCACCATAACCATTACCACCATCATCAATTTCATTGCCCCACCACTACTATAACCATTACCACCACCGCCCACCACTACTTTCCATCGCCCCATTACCACTATCCCTAATCACCACCGTTGTCGCACTTTATCACCACCGCTACTGTCCTACCGTCACCCCCCCACACCCCCACCACCACCCCCCATATTCATCACAACTATCACCACCATCGCCAACCAACCACAGCCATCCCCACCATTGCCGCTGCCCCACCTCCACCCCCACCGCAACCACTATCGCCACCCATCATCGATTGCTACCATTATCGTCCATGGCCATAACCCACCACCATCATGATCTTGTTCTTATATTTATTATCATTACCACTATCATCTCATTATCACCGTCGCCCACCGTCGCAGCAACACCCACCATTATCCATCGTCGCCCACCCTCGCCACCAGCCACTGTCACTTACCACACCACTGTCACCTACCCCTACTACACTTATCACTACTGTCGTTTCCCATCACCTATTACACTATCGCCTAGAAGTACCCAACGTCGTCCACCACCACCATCATCATCGTCCACTACCACTGTCATCGACCCACACCATCACCACCACTGCTAACCATCATCATTATCGTTCACCACCACCCACACCCACCACCACCACCTGCACCCACCACCACCACTGTTGTCACCCATAATTGTCACTACCATTATTGTCACTCAAAACCCATCACTATTGTCATCTACGACTGATACCACCACCACGGTTGTCGCCTTACCCGTCACAACCATTACTGTCTCCCACCATCGCCACTATCGCCCACCACCACTACCACCATTCACCTCTACTATAATTGGTACTTAAATTTTTTTATCTTTCCTCTATGATTGTGATTTGATTTTAAGTGTGAATACAAATATATTGACCATTTTTTTTATTATTTCCTACCTTCAAGTACGAGAAATAACTAATATATATGTATTATAAAACACGAAACACAATAACGATCTTGTGCTTATGTTTAACGACTTACATTTTAATCAATCACTTAGATTTGAATCGTAATACATGTTTTAACTACTTTTACTTATATTTTAAGTTCAATATACGATTTCTAATATGCCCAATATCTGTCCACCGACAAGAATCATATCCCCCACTGATTCTCGCATATATTTCCTTCTAATTATTTTTCAAATTCCTATTTTCAGGTAATTTAATTGCATTTACTATTCTATATTTTCCTTTTTTTATTTGCTAAAGCTATCTTCCAAATGATATATATATATATACAAAGCACAATAATCAATCTTAATTTTTTTTGAATTAGAAATTTCATTCTATTAAAGATCACTGTTTTGAGTTTTTTTAATATTTTTTGAGTTCAATATTTTACATATATATTTCAAAATTCAATTTTTTAATATTTTTGTAATTTACTGTTTGTGAAAATTTTGGACAATGAACTTTTACAGCTTTTGGAGTTCACTGTTTATATTTTTTTCAATATTTTTGAGTTCATTATTTTTGATATATATATTTCACAATTCAAATTGTTAATATTTTTGTAATTTACTGTTTGTGAAAATTTTGGACAATGAACTTTTACTGCTTTTGGAGTTCACTGTTTATATTTTTTTCAATATTTTTGAGTTCATTGTTTTTGATATATATATTTTTCAATTCAAAATTTTAATATTTTTGTAGTTCATTGTTTGTGAAAATGCTAGACAATGAACTAAGAGTTTCATTCTATTAAATTTCAGTGTTTGTGGATATTTTTTGAACTATGAGTTTCATTCTATTAAAATTCACCGTTTAGAGTTCACTATTTATGCTTTTTTCAATATTGTTTGAGTTCACTGTTTTTGATATATATTTTCTCAATTCAAATTTTTAATATTTTTTGAGTTCACTGTTTTTAAATCTATCACAGATATTTTAGCAACAAAACTAAATCAAAAGGTTATTGCATGAATCAATATGAGACACTCAATATTTAGAAATCAACAGCAACTCATGTAGTGGACACGTAAGAGTAGATCAAAAAATCTTGTTATCTACTTAGAATATAAAATTAAAAGGGACAATAGCTAACAGTGGAGTATGACGTAAAATATAAAACAAAACTAAAACATGATTTTAAACTGAATATAACATAGATAATTAGAATTGGAATAAATTGGTTTATGAATTCGAGAGCTGTGTGGTCACTATATTAAAACAACTATATCTCATCACGTGAAAGTACTAACAGACACAAGTTGATGGCCCGGCCCAGACCAAGCGCATAATTACAGACCATACTAAGAATTGTAGACCAAGTTCACCTAAAGCATACATGCCAACTCCCCCATAAGATGCAAGAAACTTGATCAGGTTAGTCGTGCTATTTTGAGAGACTCAGTTTACAACTGACATATAAGGAGATCTCTGTATAACGAGCATGTCGTCACCTCCACGAAACTGTCTCGTCTGTTACGAGAATGATGCCACTTCTACCGATCTATCTCACCTGTTACAATAATGATACCTCAATCTGTTAAGAGGTGCCTATACATTATAAGCTCTACCTACACAAGAGAGACATCTCTCACATCTCATTTACATTTTAGCACTCTATACTCTTTGAATAATAAAATACTCAGGTCATCTTAACCCTTCACAGTGGAATGGATCACCCCTAACCGAACCACTTAAATTGTGTTTTGCTTGTGTTGACTTTCATAATTTATTACTGCATTTAATACTTAATAGGTGGTGCATAAATACGTTTTGTACATCATCAATTTGAAGGCATTTGTGAGAACGATTTAGTTTTTACCCTACTTTATTTCCTATTCTTATAATCATTATGACTAAATCCATGAATCAACAAATAGAAGATGATCAACAACACTAGGAGGAGGCCTTGCCTCTGCTAGCAAATCTCGTCCTTGAACCACGGTAAAAGTTGTTAGAAACTATGTAGTTATTGGTGAATCAAAACCAATAAATCCTTAAGTTGATGCTCTTTGGACTCCCTTAAGAAGTCGTGTCCCAGCAGCCAAAAGGGGAAGAACACCAGGCATCACGCCCAGGGTGCCAAAGCGTACCTAGCAATGCCAAGGTGCCCCTTTGTAGCGCCAGGGAGCCCCTCCTTATCGTCAGGGCGCCTTGACTCCCCCTCCTTGCTAGCCGCTCTGTCCTCCCATGTTGGTGAACCTCTCTTTCAAGAAGATGAGGGGAAAAACCAGTATGTGGACCACAGGAGCTAATACATTGACCATTCGAAAGACGTCCATAACCACTAGGATGAAAAAATCATAAAAGTGCAGAACTAACTCAGCGACGTCTTCAATGCCATGAAGGCATAAGGGCCTAAAATAATCGAGCACTTAGTGAGGCGTACTGATACGCTCTTTGTTGCTAATGTGGACGACTACCCTCTCCCCCCAAAGTTTAAGATGTCAACCAAGGAAGCGTTTCATGGCTCCAAAGATCCACTAGACCACATTAACACCTACAAATACCTAATGTAGCTACACAACATACCAAACGAGATCATATGTAGGGCTTTCCCTATCACCTTAAGGGATTTGCTAGCCAGTAGTTTGACAAGCTTACCCCTGCTTCCATTAACTCTTTTGCTGAACTAAGCAAGTCCTTCATCTCACACTTCATTAAGGGATGCCAACATTAGAAGCCGGCCACCTTCCTGCTCAACATCAAGCAGGATTGGGATGAAAGTTTAAAAAATTACCTCATTCATTTTAATGAGGAGGTCTTCCAGATTGAAGAGTCTGATGACAAAGTTGTCATGACGGGCATCACAAAAGGCCTGCATTCATCCAATCTTATGTTTTCAGTTTTGAAATGCCTGCCAAAGAATATGCTAGAATTACTATAAAAAGCCCAGAGATAAATGAATGCTGAGGATGTCAACAAAGTCAGGCGAGCATTTGATTTTGGTAGATCTCAAAAAAATATCAGGATTTAATTTTTTTTTTGTCTCAAATGGATAACCGAGCACAAAGTTATGGTCGTTCAAAGTTTTGCCGCTTCTTCATGCTTTTCTAATACTCCACCAGCATCTAGCACTAACCGCCAACCAGGAGCCCAACGCTTGCGGAGCCTAGCACCAAAGCTCGCAGTGCCTAGTGCCCTCACCCACGGTGCCCAAAGCTCAGTCTAACTTTACCGCTGCTCTCACGTAAGAAGCCTTAGGCTCCAACCTAGCAACTTTCTCGTTAGTCATTAGAAGCTCAGCCTAATTCTGCCTTTTTTTTTCATGCAAGTAGCCTCAGTCTCCAAAAATTCGATCTCAAGAGATACAGCTTTCTCGTGAGCTACCCACAACTTCTCTTCTACATTCCCGTCGTGTCTATCTCTCCCTCATCAGAGTTCAACTGCTAAAAAAGGATAAGAACAAGATTTCTTACTAATGCCCTCTCTCCCAAATCCCATTAGACTCGGGGCATGGGGGCAAATGATGGGCCTCACTCAGACCAGACCCAAAATTACAAACTAGGCCTAGAATCACAGACTAAGCCCAGCTCAGGCATACAGACCAAGCCCACCACATGATGGAGGAAGCTAAGTCAGGCTTACTGTGCTATCTTGGGAAAGTTAGGTTAGTCACGCCATCTTGAGAGACTCAGTCCACAACTGACATGCGAGGAGATTTCTATGGGATGCGCACGTCGTCATCTCCACGAAACTGTCTCGTCTGTTACGAGAATGGTGCCACCTTCACCGAAATACCTCATCTATTCCATGAATGGCGCCTCAATCTATGAGAAGACACCTATAAATCGTAAACCTCATCTACACAAGGGGAACATCTCTCACATCTCATTCACATCTGAGCAATCTATACCACTTGAGTAATAAAATACCTAAACTATTCCAATCCTTCACAGTGGAGTAGGTCACCCTGGCCGAACCACTTAAACAGTGTTTTATTTGTGTTGATTCTTATAATTTATTACTGTATTTAATACTTAACAGGTTGTACATAAACACGTTTTGTGTATCAGCACTAGCAACTCTAAGATATAATCTAGTCGCTTGCAGAAAAACAGATTTAATGGTCATATCCACTGTACGATTGAGTGAATTTGATTTGAATCAAATTATCTAATAAAATATAATATAAGGTAATCGATATCTGCAAATAATGAAAGAGAACAAAGCTGTCAAAGTTGGTGGAAGAGACATGAGGTCCCAGTAGCAGAATGAAAAAGGAATAGTGAGTGTGGTATAGGACAAGAGAAGTTATAGCTGATATGCACAAAGGATGATCATGTCGGTACTGCCCAATACCCTTTTTTTAGGCAGTAGAATCGGTTAGAAAACCACCGACGTCGAATCTAATTAATAGACAATATAATTATATATTAATTATAATTTTTTTTAAAAAAATTAAAATTTTATTTTTAATTTTATTTTAATAAATGATACAATAGAACATGAATTTTAGTTGTATAATTTAAAATATTTAATATTTGATATTTGATTGTAGTATTTTTCGTCTAAGTATAATATTTTAAAATTAAAGGGTCTAAGTATTATATATTTACAAACTTTAAAGGAGTCTAAGTATAATTTATTAATAGATATATTTATAAAAAGAGTCTAAGTGTTACGGGTGTATAAACTTCAGGGGGTCTGTGTATAATATTTTAAATATCAGAAGTCTGAATAATTAAATGATAAATCTCAAAGGATGTAAGTGTAATTCTCCCATCTATTTATTACTGCAACGTTATACTAATATTGAAGGCCCATAAAATATCTTAAAGTTTGTACCGTTTCATTTGTATTCTCAATACTCACTCATATAACTGATGAATGATAGTCTGCTAATATTGATTGTAATTCAATGGTTGAAAATCAGAAAAAGATTTAAATATTTTCCTTTAGTTCCAACAGGATTGTGGTGGTGGAGTGGGTGGCGGCTGGTTCGTGGTGGGCGACCGTGGTGGTGGGTGACGGCAGGGGCGGTTCAGCAGTACAGTTAAAAAAGTTTAGGCTTTAGATCTCACTTTTAAAGAAGGACCAAATTTTTTAGATATTATAAATAATTCATGCAAAAAAATTAAATCTGTAAATACTTTAAGCCCCATAAAAAGGTCTTATGAAAACATAAGCTCAATAAAAAAATAAAATTTGAGGCCCACTTCAAGGAAGATCCCTAATTTATAGGTGTGTAGTAATAGTACAAATAAAAAATTTAAATTTATGCCAAACAACAAATTTAAATCTATGCCAAACCAAAAATTTTAACTTAAATAGATTAGGCCTATTAATTTATGATATGACATTAAAAGGTTCTAAAATTTATTTTTTTTTTTAGAAAAAAGGAAAAAAAACTAATAGTAAAATTAATGCTACTAAAAAATTTAGCTTTAACCCCGCCAGAAAAATTGAGTTTAAATTTATCATCATAATTTTCAATATCACCATCAAGTTCAAATATAGTAATAAAAGATTGAATATGAAAATTTAATTAATATTTTTATGTTTTAAAAAATAAAAAATAAATTTATTATTAATATTAAAAATAAAAAGACATCATTTATTATTTTCACTTTAAACCTCAAAATATCTCGAGCCACCACTGAGTGACCACCAGTAATGGTAGTGTATAGTGAAGGTGTGATGGAGGGTGGCGAATAGGGGTGACATTGACGGGATGATAATGATAGTAGCAAGAAATATAAAAATTAGATAATGGTGGAAATTCATTAAATATATTTTTATCTCGCGCTACGAAATTTTGGTCTTAGAAGTGTTGCGGTTGGACTTAAAACTTAAAAGACCATCAACTGTGGACCTGCGACACCTTTTCCCCCAAAATAAAGATGAATATTATTGTTAGGATAAAATTGGCCCTACATTCAGAACAACCATATCCAAAACAGTAATCAAATTATTTTCTAAAGAGTTGATTACTTACTTGATCTCTTGAATTATACCATTTATATTAATTAATCTCATAAATTATGTATTTTGTTAGTTTAGCCCATAAACTTTACAATTTGACCCTTTAGTCCAAATTAACAAAAAGTCTCGTGTACACGTCACGTCGACCATGAATTATACCTTAATCTTTAGATTAACTCACGTGATATACAAACGAGATTTTTCATTTGAAGAGACCACATTAAGTCAAATTACATAATTCAGAGGTTAAATCAAAATAAAACATATTTCAAAGACTAAATTAGCTAAATTAGCTACAAGTAATTTTTTAACGAGCAATATCTTCACCATTGAGCAATTCCCAAAACAACACCCCAATTCGTTTCTTCTTTCAGGAATCCCAAATCGCCACTCTTTCTGTAAACCCTTTCCACCAATACTCGTTGATTCCCTCAATTTCTGGATTCAGCAGATAGGGTTTTGGATCCAACGCTTTTCTTGGATCTCTGCCCAAAACTTTTTTTGGATCTCTCTCTCTGCCTTTCTTTTGATCATACAGCGAAATATGGGACAAAATATTTATAGGGTATTGTGGGTAAGCTCTGTGGAGCTGAGAGGGGGACCAATCTATGATATTGAAAGGTAGGGTTGAAAGGGTGTTTTATTTAGCTGTTTCTCACTGGTTTAGATCAAAACCCTTCTGTATATGGTTGAAGATCGACCTGGGCTTCGATCGAATAGTTCATTTTAAACGAAAAATGCTTTGAAAGTCATTTGATCAAAGGGTCTCTCTGTCATCTTTGAAATGCTTTGGCAAATTGGACTTTGATCAAGGGATTCATCTATATAGCATATGTGATCATATAATTAAAGTTAGAGTTTGGTTTGGTGGATTCATCTACATGTTATATGTGATCATATAATTAAAGTTAAGTGTTGGGGTTTGATGGATTAAGTGTTTTGAAGTTTATTTGCTAAGTTAATTTGAAGACTTTGTTGAGTTGTAAGGGCAGATTATACAGGGTTTTGTTCAATGGCATCATCTGGTTTTTTCCTTACCTCCATTCTACATGCTGTAGTAGCCTTAACTTGTGGAGCTCTTATGATGTTCTATACGAATGAGATCTTTGTTTTTAGCCATGGCCACGAAAATGCGAGTAAGCTTTTGGGATCAACGCCCCATGATCAGCTGTTAATCCAAACCTCTGATTCATTTTCGGGGCTGCTCTTATTTGCTATTGGGTTTCTATTGTTCATGGTGGCATTTGTTAAGGACAGGGAATTCCAAGCCTTCTTTGCTAAGGGGTGTGTGCTTCTTCATGTAGCCATGGCAATTTGGAGAACTCACTTTGAGAGGAAGCTTGAAGATCTTGGCCGTGATTGGCTGAGGTTGGTTGTTGGGGACATTGTCTTGGGACTTTCATGGGTATTCTTTCTTGTTTACTCATGGAGGGAGAAGTATGATTAGTGTTAGATTAGAAGTTGAGAGCTGAAATTCATCTATCATAGAATCAGAGACTTTAGTTTTTTGCTTAATGATATGTTGAATTGAACTTCAAGGGCTTGGTTTGCTGTTTGATTTTCGCATTGGATACCATGTTGAGTGACAAAGAACTGAATTGGGATGTGCAAATGTTAAAAGTGTGAGTTTTATCAAGTAGTTTTTTGTGCTTTATTCTGCAGGATGGTGAAGATTTTGTTGGATTCAAGGGAAGTGGAAACTGAACACAGATTGAACAACTGGTTTGATATTTTGCTGGAGCATCATTTAACCTCATCGATATGATTGCTTAGAGGAAAATTGACTAGGCTCTAGAGTTGGCCTGTTGCTTCAAAATGTGGCTAGCTGGCTAGGCCACAGGAAGTTCTTTTGAGTTTCTTTTCTTCTTCCAGATATACAATGTCGAACCTCTTGCCTCTACACAGTTATCTTCATTGTAAATTTCTGTGAAAATAAGTATGAAATATTTGATCTCTTGGTGTGGCTCTGATTCTTTCTGTGTTTTGATCCAATGCTGCTTTCTTTTCCATGGTTGTGTTGTGCTTCATGTTATGTTGAAGGAGTGCTAGTTGAAATGCTTTATCCGGAAGCAATAACAATATTTAAGAATCAGAGGAGTATTGAATTCTTGAAATCTTAAAATGGTAGATTGAAACTGTCTTACCCCTGATCTGGGATTTGCATATTAGTTAGATTTCTCCTATAAACTTGATTCATTTTTCAGGTTTTCATTCAAAATCTTGATTTGCATGGCATTGAACTAGCTATGAGATAGCACATATGGTATCTTAATGATCTTCTACAACTAGCACTGTTGTTTTTCTCTTATGATGGTATCCCAAATTGCCTGGTAGACCATATGATATCTGATGAGTCCAAATCTAACTGGGCCAGACCCAGTAAACCAAGCAAGCCCATATACACTATGAAGGTAGCCCAAGACCGATTTATCAATCTGACCCAATCCAAGATCCGAGGAGCCCAAGAAGATAAGAGCACGTGGGAGAGAGATTATCGGATATGCGTTCATGAAGATCAATCCTACCTTAAGTGCATTTACCAAAGAAGTAGTGCCCTCTCATTCAAGTCACTGCCTCATCATACCTATATATTATATGCTCTCTTCACATGGAGACATCTATATCTCCCAACACACCTTGACACCTCTCTACACCTATACACATAGCTTCTATCTCCTAGTTATCGTACTGACCACCGCTGTCGTTTCCTGAGAGTGGAGTAGGTTATGCGGACTGAATCATTAAATGTCTGCGTGTTGACTCAATATTTACGTTATTGTCATTGATTATTTTATTTATTGTTCATTAATTACACCTTATTATACACTCAATTGTTGATCTTGTACAAGATAGTTTTGTGCATTATCAGTTTGGCGTCGTCTATGGAAAACGACTAGTTTTTCTAATTTTTTTTATTCCATGGCAATCACGACCAGGTCAATGAGTCAACAAACCGGGAGACAACAACCTGACTTATCAGGAGGAGGCTCCGTCTCCCCTCGCACCATCAGAACCGTTTGCTACAGCGACTCCTGTCGTCGGGCAACAATTTCTATAGACCATGCAGTTGCTGGTAAGCCAAAATCAATAAATCATTTAGTTGATGCTCGCCTAGGGAGGTGTTGCCCCTCACCCCGCAGGAGGAGCCCTACTCCCTCTAACGGGAGAGGAGTAACAACCTATCCACTCTGGGTGCCAGGCAGCCCCCCATCATGGAGTCCCTCGCCAGAATGCCCCAGGGCCACGCCTGGGGGCCCCTAGCCCAGTAGTCCCTCCTTAGTGCGCATGAAGCTCATGTGTTTCCCTTCTTCATGTACTTGCGCAGAAGGATGAAGTAGAAAGTCAGTACGCTGATCATGGAAGCCAGTACAACCACCCAACGGAGGATGTCCCCAACTAATGGGACGAGAAGATCAGAGAGGTGCAAAACCAACTCGGAGATGCCCTCAACGTCATCAAGGCACAGGCGTCCAAGACGGTGGATTACTTGGTAAGGTGCACTAATACCCCTTTCGTTGTAGATATAGTTAAGTATCCCTATCCTCGAAGTTCAAGATACCAGCCATCGAAATCTTCGAAGGTACCAAGGACCCCTATGGATCATTTGGATACCTATAAGTCTCTCATGTAACTCCATAATGTGCCTGATGAGATCATGTGCAGAGCCTTCCCTACCACCTTGAAGGGGTTTGCTCATCAATGATTTGCGAAGATCAAACCCTCGTCTATCCACTCCTTCACAAAGCTGAGTAAATCTTTTGTCTCCCACTTCATTGGGGGACACTAACATCAGAAGCCTGTGACCCATCTGCTCACCATCAACCAGGATAGGGATGAAGCCTTAGGAGCTACTTCACTCGTTTCCATGAGGAGGCTCTTCAGATAGAGGAACCTGACGATAATGTAGCCCTAGCCATTTTTATCGCTGGTTTGCGCTCCTCCAGCTTTTTGTTCTCCGTCCTCAAGAAGCCGCCCTCCAATATGCTCGAGTTATTGTCAAGGGCACAGAAGTGCATGAACGCCGAGGATGTCACCAAGGCCAGATGAGGTGAGTCCTCTAATGGGGCTGAGAAGAGGAAGGACACCCGTAAGGACAAGCAGGAATGAACAAAAGGAATAGAATAGAGAGAATCTCTATCAAGGACCGCCTTGGTCCCCTACCTCTAAGAGAGCGACAAACCTTCATGCCACTCAATGCTTCAGTGGAACATATCCTATTCCAAATACAGGATGATCCTACAGTATGTTGGCCTGAGAAGATGAAGACCGCCCTGAACCAGAGGAGCCCGAACAAGTACTGCCGTTTTCCACCACGACCATAATACTGCCGATTGCTTTGATCTTAAAAAGCAGATTGAGGAGCTCATATAGCATGGCCAGGTGAGGTAATACGTTGCTAGCAGAGGACAAGCCCTGCCACTTGGCCGGAACAAGAACGACAGAAAATGCCAGTAACCTCGGAGAAATTTAGACAATCTCCTAAGGGCTAGGAGGTGGAAGCGACTAGAACTCCGCTAGGAAAGCCTCGACCCACCTATGGGATGACAAACACCTGGAGAACTATTATCAATAGCGAGTAGAAGCTAGTGACTCTTATTTTATCTATCCTTTGTGGTTTCAGTTGATTTGTTATGTTATTTATTATCTTATGAAATAAAATTCTACGAAGATTATTATTGTTATGCTTTCATAAAGTTTGTAAATAGCTCATACTCTCGACGATCAGTCACTGCTCCTCGAGCCACTATCATCAAGGCTCTCCCCGTCACCATCTACCCCTGGTGCCTCATACGGGATGAAGCCAGAGAACTCAATAGTAGGAAAAACTGGCAAGCTCTTCATAACCATTAATAAAGGTGCTTGCGATGGCTTTCTCAACAGCCTCCCTCCTCATCTCTATCTCAATGGAATGAGTCTCGGCCACGACAGCCATTTCTCGGGCTATACGTAGCTTGACCTAAACTCTTGCGGCCTTTTCATGAGATGTTTGCAGCTATAACTTTGCTCTCGCGCAGGTAATCTCCTTACAAGCCTCTGCCATGACATCCATTTCCCGGGTTATACGTAGCTCGACCTCAACTCTTGCGGCCCTCTCACAAGACGTTTGCAACTATGACTTTGTTCTCGCGCAAGTAGTCTCCTTACAAGCCTCTGCCACGACAGTCATTTTTCGAGCTATATGTAGCTTGGCCTTAGCTCTTGAGACGCTTTCATAGGATGTTTGTAGCTATGACTCTGCTCTCATACAGGTAGTCACCTTATAAGCCTTTGTCACGACAGCCCTCTCCTGAGCTATACATAGCTTGGTCTCCAGCTTTGCGGCCCTCTCACGGGACGTCCGCAGATCTAACTTTGCTCTTACGCAGACGGTCTCTTTATCAGCCTCTAGCTTCCCGGCCCTTTCATGGGATGCCAAAAAGCTTGGTCTCAAGAGGCGTGACTCTATCATGAGTAAGCTTCAACTGCTTCTCAGTAGCCTCTCGAATCCCGTCTCTCTATTACCAGATGCCCAAATGCCTCGCCAAGCTTCAATGTCCGTGAAAAAGGTTGGAAAAAATGGCAACCACCAGCAAGCATTCAAAAAGAAGAATATGAAGGAAAGGAGGCTCGTACAAAATCAAAGTTGATAATGCCCTCCGGACCTCGAGATTCAACCTCTCTGATATCCCCGGGAGTCACGGACCCCTAGAGTTGCTCCTTGACCGAAGTCAAATCAAAGCATGGACAGCAAGCCATTACTAGAAGTAGGACAATTATGTGGAATTACAGTCCCCGTAGAAGATCACACTGAAGTCATAACTCCTACAACGGTACAAGGACTAGCTTTGGTACACACAAGAGTCACAGTCTGGGAAGAAGTGAGGGCACCACCGGGTCCCATCTCTCGGGAAGCAACCTAGCCATCGGGCCTTGACCGAGAAGCACTAGGGGCATTAAACATCGCCCTCTTAGGAGGAGGGGAAGAAATCACCCTAGAAGTATAGAGAACCTCCACCTCCATCATCGCTCTATCAACGGAAGCTATTGAAATTAGAGACAAGGTTAAGAACCACCACAACCGAAAGCCATCATAGTCTCCCTCTCTGACAGCTGCCTGCCAGAACACAATTTTCCACCATTGTCAGTTTCACTAATTTGTGCTTAAAACTTAAATATAGAGAGATAAAAGCATTTTTAAAAAAAAATTGTTGACCAAATCGCCTTTGGGGTTTGTATGGCTTAGATCTCCAAAAAATATCCAAATTCAAAAAAAACATTCCCCTCAAACGGATAACTGAGCACAAAGTTATGACCGTTCAAAGTTTTACCCTTTTTTCATAATTTTCTGATACTCTAGTCGGCGCCCCATCGCGTGCTCCTTTCTCTTAGCTTTGCCCAAGCCTCCAAGGCGTCGCCCATCCAGTGCCTAGCACCCTTGTCTGGCACCACCCATCACCCTTGTTTGGC